ACTTCACCAAAGTAACAAAGGAATAAATCCATAAGGACAAGGAGACTAGGATTAGAGAGGGTAACAAGAGTTCATCATGTAAATCATTATTTTTCAGTTTGAGTTTGAAAGCAAATATGATAAATTATTAAGATATGACTAAGCTGGGTTGTGGGTACATGGTGTCCATTATACTCTCCTTTTAATTTTCAGTTATTATTAAATATTTCTTAATGTCAAAAGTACATAAAAGGGGCTGGGGTTTGTGGCTCAGTGGTAGAGCGCTTGCTTTGCACATGTGAGACACTGGGTTCGATCATCAGCACCACATAAAATAAATAAATAAGTAAAACAACGGTATTGTGTCCATGTTCAACTAAAAATTTTTTTAAAGGTACATAAAAAATGAAGAAGTTAGTTACAGAAAGTGACAGGTGCTCTAAAAAAATGGTTCTCAAACTTTAATGTGCATATGAATAACCTGGGGAATTCTTAAAGTTCAGATTTTTAATCATTAGATCTAGTGTGAGGCATGAGATTCTTCATTTCTAACAGCCTTTTAGGTGGTGCCAATGCTGGTGGTCTGTGGGTCACACTTTTAATAGTAATATTTAAAGAGAAATAAACAAAGCAATGTGATAGAGAGTGGCAGGTATGGTGGGGCTGGCCTTTTTAGATAAGATGCTCTCAGAAAGATTCTCTAAGCAGATGGCATTTGAGTTGAAACATGAATGGCAAGAAAAAGTCAGTCATTTGCACATCTACAGGAAATATGTTCCAGATAGAGGGTTAAGCAAGTGCAAAAGTGAGAATAAGTTCCTGTGTTTTCAGACGAGATGGGGCGCGTTCAGGGTGGTATGGCCGTAGACAGTTCCTGTGTTTTCTAGAAAGAAAATTACTGTGGACCTGTTAGAGTACACACATACTTCTTCCAAATTTAGGTGTAATTAAGGGAAAAAATAGCTGAATTTGGAATTGTTAAACCTAGATTTGATATCCATCCTTTGTTTATTTGTTTGTTTAGTTGTCAATGAACTTTATTTTTTTTTATGAGGATTGAACCTCACATGTGCCAGAAGCACTCTACCACTGAGCCACAACTCCAGTCCTATTATCTCTGTGGCATCTGTTAAGTCACAAATTAACAGTCTGTTTCCTCATAAATATGGTCATATTAATCAATAATATCTATTTTACAGGGTTGAGGTGAGCATTAAATAAGGTATGAAAAAAGTACTTTGTAAATTGCAAAATACTATCAAACTTTAGGTATAATTATTACATAGATAAAGTGCTATGTGATCTGCAAAGCAGCTTTTATTGTGTCTCTTTATGTCAGGCACTTATGTGTCAAGTTGCTGAGGCCAAGTTGGTCAGTCTATTGCTGATGTTCCCCAGTAATGTACAACTCTTGTAATGTTTCATGCTATAATTCTATGTGTACTAGAAATTTTCTTTGGCTTATTTGGTAAATAAATATTTATTCCACTTTAGATTATCATAGAGTAGCTATTGAGGGGTCATCTTACAAGAGGCACTACTTTTGTAAAAATAGACTGACTTCATTCAGACACCTCACAACTACTATTCATGTCAATAATACCTGTAGGTGATTCTAGTAAATCTCAAGGATTTTGAGAAATCATCTGTTGGGTCAGATGTAGGTATTTCAGAATTCTGAAGTCATTTCTGAATTCAAAATCTTATGATTCTATATGCCCTCTGGAGACTTTCATTAAGTCTTGTTTTTAAGTATAGGCAACATCTTTTAGTGGATAGAGCAGTATATTAGCAGCTAGAACCATGGTTCTGATCTGGAGTCTATCAACACATAGCTTTGGTTTTCTTTATCTACTAGAAACAGGTAATAACACCCATAGGAAACTGTTATTAAGATTTAGAAAACTGCCATTAGGATCCAGCATGGCAAAGCATGTTTCTTTCTTCTTCTTCTCTTAAAAATTTAATTCATTAAAAAATTTTTAGCCCACAAATAATTTATAAAGGAGCAATCCATAGACTGTGAAAAAACATTTGCAATACACATACTTGTTTACAAAGTATACAAAGACTGGAAACTAAACAATCAGCAAATAATGCAATTAAAAATTAACAAAATAAATAAACAAGTATTTCACTGAAGAGGATAATCAAATGGCAAATAAGCATATGAAAAAATACCTAGCATTATTTGTTGTTAGAGAATTTCACATTAAAATCATACAGGATACCTAAGAGATTGTCTATGGTACAATACACACACACACACACACACACACACACACACACATATATATATGCATATGTATACATATATACATATTATTTTTATTTGCAAAATAAAGTATTAATAAACAATTAAATAAATCTGGTTTTGTGTACTATATGATAAATGAAAGAATGAACAATTAAAACAGAAGTATTCCAACTATCTTCTCTCTGAGCCTGATAGCAGGACTATTCAACCTGTTTTCCAAAATACTATATCATCAAATTTATCATTTACCCAATTTTCCTCCGATCTTCATGTCAGGCATTTTTTTCCTCAAAAATATCAATAAGTAATTTAAATATGAATGACCTAGATATTATAATTAATAGGCATAAATGTTCAACATGTGTAAAAAGTAAACAATAGCTATATGCTCTATACATAGGTCACACTTTAAATATCAATACACCAATAGGTTAAAAGCAAAAGGGGATAATAAACATGAGAAATCTGAGGTAGAGTTATTAATAGAAAATAAATTTCAAGAAAAAGTATTTTCAGAGATATAGGGGGACATTTCATAACCATAATAGGGTAATTTCTTCAAGAAAGTATAATAATCCTAAATGTGTATGTTCTTCTTCTTCGTCATCATCTTTTTTTTGTTTGTTTGTTTGTTTTTGGTACTGTGGATTGAACCCAGGGACACTTTAGCCTGAGCTACATCCCTAGTCCTTTTATATTTTGAGACAGAGTCTAACTAAATTGCTGAGGCTATACTGCAACTTGTGATCCTCCCGAGCCTCCCAAATCACTGGGAATACAGGTATGTAACACTGTATCTTGCTAAAGTGTTTATGAAAGTATAAAAATGTAAGAAATTATTTTATCACATTGTACCTTATAATTTATCACAAGTTATTTATTGCATGGGTTCTTTTATTTTTGAAAAATTAGAGCATCACTGGATAATGTCTTACCTGGGTAGTAAGATTCAGTGGCAATATACAGCCCTAATAGAAACCATTGGTAGGTTCTAGAATTTCTCTATGTGGGTATTGTCCAACACAGAAAGGATGCTGAATAAATATTTGCTGATGATATATTCATTAATGAATGAGGCTGCTACTGATGTATGGTCAACAAGGCAATTATAAACTAGAAACACCCAACAAGTCACCAAGTCCTGTCAATTCTACCTCCTTAATATCACTGGAATTGATTTACTGCCACTACTACTGCCAGGTTCTGGCCTTTATTTTATGATTGAACTACTGCATTAACTTCAGGATTCTAATCTATACTCCTTCCAATACAACCTTCCTACTTAAGCCAGAGTGTAATGGCCATACAAATCTGATCATTCTACTCTCCTGATTGCAACTCTTTGCTGGCTGTAGGATAAAGCATTAACTTAGAATGAAATAGAAGGTCCTTAATCAACAGATTTCTGTTCACCCAGGCTCATTTCCTACTACTTTGCCATATACTTCTGGACCAATGAGTCTAAAAATGTTTTCTTATACCTTCTTGCTTTTAACATACCATCTTCTTTACATGGAGTGTCTGTCAACCTCTTCAATTTGAAGCTCTATTCTTCTTTAAATAACCATCTCAAGTATTCTCTTTCCTGGAAACCTGGAGTGGAATATGAATCTTGGAACAAAGTAAAGCTAACTGCCTGGGCATGCATATCCTTGGTCTTTCTTCATCAGACTTATTAGTAATTCAAGGACCATCTACATAAGAAATTTACTATTACTTGCTTGTCTTGTGGGAAAGGTTCGAGAATGTAGCAATGGATATAAAATTGCAACTGCCTTATTGTCTCTAGGGTTCCATATAACATTTACACTTGGACATTCAGTTTCCCAGATAACTGTAAACATATTTTCACATTAGTTTGTTTGATTATACTGGTAACAAAAGAATACAAACCTGTTTTTAAATATGTACTTCTTTACATACATGTTCAATTTCCCATTCTTCAGCCAGTCCAGCAATTTTCAATTAGAAATTTTGCAGAAACCAAAGGGAAGTGCTAGAAAGAGAGGCAAATTAGCAAAAGTGTGTGTGTGTGTGTGTAATCATCCCAAAGAAACAGACAAAAAAAAAAAAAAAAACTGCCTCCAGGTTTACATAAAAGAGAACAATCAACAAAGTAGAAGCTTTTACAAGAGAGGTAGTGACTCTCACAGATGAAGCCTTCTCCCAGGGGAAATTAATGTCTGTAGTTTAATCTACCCTGGAGCGTTAGTGCACTGGGAAAGTGGAGAAAGAATATGCATAGTGAAAGTGGAGAGTGGAGTGTAGCATTGAGTTGGAGGCAGTAAGAGTGGAACCACGGAGAAGATTTGTTTGCTGGATTTACCAAAGGTAATAATTTTAAAAAAACCTTATTTTACCTTCATTGACTTCTCTTTATTTTATTTTTATGTGGTGCTGAGGATCAAACCCAGTGCCTCAAGTATGCTAGGCAAGCACTCTACCACTGAGCCACAAACCCAGCCCCATCAAAGGTAATATTTGGGCCACATTTATTTATACCAAAAAGTGATTAATTACTTTCTGAAATTCAAACTTAACTGAGCATCCTATATTTTATCTGGCAACCCTAGGAAAAGAAAAATAAAGTCCAAAAAAAGAAAAATAAAGTCCAGCGCAAGAGCCAAAAGAGGCTAAACAGAAGTACTGGAGTCTTAAAGAGAAGCTATTTCCGGTGTCGGGCTGGGAAAACGAGGGGGAGGGGCGGGAAGATTAAGAAAGCCGCGCTCAGTCCGCCAGTGTCCCACAATCCTCTTCTCTCGGTTCCTCTTTCCTCGCTCAAGATGGCGCTGCTCGCGATACATTCTTGGCGTTGGGCAGCCGCGGCGGCTGCTTTCGAAAAGCGCCGGTATTCCGCGATTCTGATCCGGTCTCTAGGCTCTGTTCGTCGCTCAGATCCGCGGTGGCTGTCACATCATCGCGGCGCCTCAGGAAACGCTCGAATCTACCAGGTGAGATGCCGTTCACTGGGAATAGTAGGGTGAAGGGCAAGGGGACCTAATAGGAAAAAGGTTGCTCTCATGACTTCAGGTGAGAGAGAGCACTTAGGAAAAAAAACAAAACAAAACAAAACATTTTCAGGGCTAACTTGAAGCAGCAGTAAGTGAAGGAAATTAAGCTGAGTAATTTTAAAAAGGGGTTAAAAAAAAAAAAACCTTTAGGGAAAGTAAAGAGGGATCAAGCCAGAGGTTCCGGGCTGAGGGCACCTGGAGTGCTGGAGTCTCATAGAATTTGTAGTTTTTTTTCTGATAGTAAAAAAACTAGGCACCATTCCCAGCCTGCTTACATTTCTAAATGAGTAGAAGACTGTACTTTTTTCTAAAGTTAGTAATGGAATTTGGTTCAAAATTGCCTATAGTTTGGATTTTACTCAGAAGTAGCATTTTGGAGGGCACTGTAAAATGACAGGAAGCCACCTATAAACAAGTGGAAAATTGAATTGGCATCAATTAATTCCCTTGCTGATAGGCGTACTCCTTGATAGGTGAAAATCATAATTATCTTTCCAAAACATAGACCGCCCTAAATTCATATATAAACAGGATGGTCCTTTGAATATTCAGAAGTATTCTGTGACCACAAGTCACTTTGGAGGCCATAAGACTGTTTTTCCTTAATTTATGAATGTAAACAGTGATTATAGTGCCTTTTAACTTTTGTGTGCATTATAATCTCTCAGGACAGTTTTTAAAAATGTTATCTGTACTTGAGTATTGTCTTTATTTCCCATATATTGACAAAAAAATTTCATTTTCACCTCTTGTTCATCGGTATCACTTTAAAGTATTGTCAGCTTTGTTTGAGAAACGATTTTTGATTGTCAATGAATATTTCATGTCCCCAACTTCCAAAATTAAAAATAATATTTAGTTGTCACACAATTGTATATATTTATAAGGAATAGGGTGATATTGCAACACATGTACGCAATGTGTAATGATCAGATCATGGAAATGGTATATCCATCACCTCAAACATTTGTCATTAGTATATTGCATAATATTTCAGATCTGGAAGGAAATTTTAGTGTAGTGTTGTGAAATCATGTCAGTGGGTTAGATCGGCACTTTTAGATGAAATTTTGTAGAAAAGAAACTAGTGCTTTTTAAACAGCTGTGCTGTGTAGTAAGGTAACCACTAGCTTGATGTGGTTATCCATTTTAACTACTCAGTTGCATTAGCCACATTTCAAAGGCTCAGTAGTCACATATGCCTAGTAGCTATTGTATCAGATGACACAGGTAATGAACATTTCTTCCATCATCTCAGAATATTCTTTTAAAAATTTTTTTATTGGTTCTTTAAAATTATACATGATGGTAGAATCCATTATGGTATAATTATACAAGCATGGAATATATCTTTTTCTTATGAGTGTATATGATGGGATTCACTTAGGTATTTTTTTATATATGTACATAGGAAATTTAAGTTAGATTCATTCTATTGTCTTCCCTATTCCTATTCGCCCTCCCTTCCCTTCATTCCCTTTTGTCTAATCTATTGAACTTCTCTTCTCCTCTTCTCCCTTATTGTGGTTTAGTTTCTACATATCAGTGACATCATTTCACCTTTGGTTTTTTGGGATTAGCTTATTTTACTTAGCATGATAGTCTCCCGATCCATCCAATTACTGGTAAATGTCATAAAGTCATTATTTATGGTTGAGTAATATTCCGTTGTGTATATATACCAGAAATTCTTTATCCATTCGTCTATCGAAGGGCACCTAGGTTGGCTCCATAGCTTAGCTGTTGCAAATTGTGCTGCTATAAACATTGATGTAGCTGCATCCCTGTAGTATGCTAATTTTAAATTCTTTGGATATATACTGAGGAGTGAGATAACTGAATCAAAGGGTGGTTCCATTCCTAGTTTTGTGAGGAATCTCCATACTGCTTTTCAGAGTGGTTGCACCAATTTGCAGTCCCACCAACAATTTATGTGCTTACCCTTTTCCCCACATCCTTGCCAACATTTATTTTTTTCTTGTGTTCTTGATAATTGCCATTCTGACTGGAATGAGATGAAATCTCAGTGTAGTTTTAATTTGTGTTTCTGTAATTGCTAGAGATGTTGAGCATTTTTTCATATATTTGTTGACCATCCATTTTTTTTCTCCTGAGAAGTGTCTGTTCAGTTCCTTTGCCCATTTATTAAGTGGTTTTTTTTTTTTTTTCTGGTGTTAAGTTTTTGAGTTCTTTATACATTCTGGATATTTATGGTCTATCTGAGATTCGGGTGGCCAAGATTTTCTCCCATTCTGTATGCTTTCTCTTCAGGTTCTTGATTGTTTGCTTTGCTGTGAAGAAGCTTTTTAGTTTGATGCCATCCCATTTATTGAGTTTTTATTTTACTTCTTGCACTTTAGGAATCTTGTTAAGGAAGTCAGTTCCTGAGCCAATATATTGAAGTGTTGGGCCTTTATTTTCTTCTAGTATGTGTAGGGTTTCTAGTCTAATTCCTAGGTCACTGATGCACTTAGAGTTGGTTTTTGCATCATGGAAAGTTCTCTCAGACAGTGCTGCTATAGAGTGTTATATCCAGCCCTTCTAATTTTGCAAATGAGGAAACTAAGTGCCAATATGGATAAATGACAGCCTTCAGGGCCTTTCATTTATTGCCTTCTGTGTGTCAGGTACTTATTTAAGGGTTAAAAGGACTCTGGCAGTTACTAAGGACACAATAAATGTTGACTAATAAAGATAATTACTAGAGCACTTTTATTAGAGAGAAACACCTTAAACAAAAATTATTCTTAAATTGGAATATTTCATATAAGATTTAAATTGTATGATTTATTATACAGCTGCCAGTCTACTGCATCATTTAATATTAAAAATTTTGTAAATTTTGAATGATAGAATTTTGGGTTTATTTCATTAATATGTAAACTGAGATATCATATAGTTTCTCCTCAGTATCTTAAAGCTGAGTTCAAAGACTTCTTGACTGTTGATCCCAATACTGGTTGTACATTTCTTCATTTATTTTTTGTAACATCTTTATTGAGTTATAATTCATATGCCATATATTTCACTTATTTAAATGTGCCATTTAATGAATTTTAGTGTATTCAGTTTTACATATCACCATTGGCACAATTTTTGCATTTTTATTAACTCAAAAAGAAACCTAATACCCTTTGGTTGTGACCTTTCTATAACCCCTCCTCCTATCCTCCTTACCCCTAAGCCACCACTAATCTATGTTCATTCTGTGTATGTATATAATGTCTATTCTGGATAGTTCATATGAATGGAATTATATAATTGGTCTTTTTTGATTGGCTTCTTTTACTTAGCATTATGTTTTCTACATTTATTCATATTATGGCCTATATAAGTACTTCATTCCTTCTCATGGTCAAATAATGGTCCATGGTATTGATATACAATATTTTCTTTATTCATTCATCAATTGATAGACATTTGGGTTGTTTTCATGTTTTGGCTATTATGACTAATGCTGCTATATAAACATAAATATATTAGTTTTTGTACAAACATAAGTTTTTAATTCCTTGAGATATTCATATTCCATACTTCCGTAGAATTGCCAAATCATTTAATAACTGTTGAATTGTTGAAGGGACTGCCAGACTGGTTTTTCAAAGTGGTTACACACTTTATATTTCCACCAGAAACATATGATAGTTCCAATTTTTCCATGTTCTCACTAAAACTTTTTATCTGATTTTGCTTATAACTATCCTAGTGCATGTGAGATGGCATCACATCTTGGTTTTGATTTTTATTTCCTTTATGACTAAAGATATTAGGTATTTTTCAGTTTGCTTTTTGACCATTTGTTTATCTCTGGAAAAATGCCTATTCATATCCTTTGTGTGTTTTTTTAATTAGGTTATTGTTTTTGTTGTGCTTTTGTTTGATGGAGGGGAGTGAACTTAGCCTAATTCATGCTAAACACATGCTTGATGACCAATACACCCATAGCTTAGGGTGTTTTTTTTAGATTAATTTTCGGACTGTATTTTTTAAAAAATATTTATATTTTGTTTTAGGTGGACACAATATCTTTATTTTATATTTATGTGGTGCTGAGAGTTGAACCCAGTGCCTCATGCATGCTAGCCAAGCACTCTCTTACTGAATCACAACCCTAGCCCCTAAGTGTTATTTATTTATTTATTTTTTGTACTGGGATTGAACCTAGGGACATTTAATCACTTAGCCACATCCCAGCCCTTTTTCCCCAGGCCTTTTTATTTTTTATTTTGAGACAGGGTCTCACTAAATTGCTGAACTTGTGATCCTCTGGCCTCAGCTTCCCAAGTTGGTGGGATTACAAGTATACAGCACTGTGCCTGGCTAATTTGATCTTTTAATGGCAGGAGATCTTGTGTGTTTTATTATTTAAAATATTTTTTACTTTTTTTTAAATGTACTGTTGTGGCAGAGTTGTTTTCAAGCTCTGATATTCTTCTGATTGATCTAATATGTTGTTGAGGCTTTCAACTGAGTCTTTTGTTTAATCTGACTTATTGAGCTTTTCATTTCTATAATTTTGATTTGGTTCATTTTGAAAACCTCTATTACTGAAATGCTCATCCATAATCTTAATTGTCTTTCACCTGTTTATTAGTATTCTCTAGTATTTATTCACCTGTTTATTAGTATTCTCTTGGATTTCATTGAGCTTTTTTTTTAACCTTTATTTTATTTATTTATTTTTATGTGGTGCTGAGGATCGACCCCAGGGCCTTACACGGGCTAGGCAGAGTGCTCTACCCCTGAGCCACAACCCCAGCCAAAATGAGCTTTTTAAAAATTTTTTTCTTACTTATACATGGACACAATATCTTTATTTTGTTTATTTTTATGTGGTGTTGAGGATTGAACCCAGTGCCTCACAGGTGCAAGGCAAGCACTCTGCCACTGAGTCACAACCCCAGCCCTTCATTGAGCTTTTTAAAGATAATTCTTTTGAA